TGCTGCCTCTGCTGCTATCATCTGTGTCGCTACTGCTGTTGCTTTTTGTTGTTGTTTGTTTGTGTGTGTTGTACAGGGTGATGTTGGAGGTGACATTGGCTCACATTATGTGACATTTGTCTTCTGCATTTTCTTCTGGGAGTTACTGCCCACGGTGGCTATTATCTTCTTCTTCCGTATTCGACAGACGTCTCTCCCACCGGTAAGTACAGTGGAGTGCTGTGCAGTGCTATACAGTGCTGTGCTGTGCTGTGCAGTGCTGTGCAGTGCTGTGCTGTACTGTGCTGTGCTGTGCTGTGCTGTGCTATACAGTGCTGTGCTGTGCTGTACTGTGCTGTGCTGTGCTGTGCTGTGCTGTGCTATACAGTGCTGTGCTGTGCTGTGCTATACAGTGCTGTGCTGTGCTATACAGTGCAGTGCTATACAGTGCAGTGCTATACAGTGCTGTGCTATACAGTGCTGTGCTGTGCTGTGCATTGTGCTGTGCTGTGCTATACAGTGCTGTGCTGTGCATTGTGCTGTGCATTGTGCTGTGCTGTGCTGTGCTGTGCTGTGCTGTGCTGTGCTGTGCTGTGCTATACAGTGCTGTGCTATACAGTGCTGTGCTGTGCTGTGCATTGTGCTGTGCTGTGCTGTGCTATACAGTGCTGTGCTGTGCATTGTGCTGTGCTGTGCATTGTGCTGTGCTGTGCATTGTGCTGTGCTGTGCTGTGCTGTGCATTGTGCTGTGCTGTGCTGTGCTGTGCATTGTGCTGTGCTGTGCATTGTGCTGTGCTGTGCTGTGCTGTGCATTGTGCTGTGCTGTGCATTGTGCTGTGCTGTGCATTGTGCTGTGCTGTGCTGTGCTGTGCATTGTGCTGTGCTGTGCATTGTGTTGTGCTGTGCTGTGCTGTGCATTGTGCTGTGCTGTGCATTGTGCTGTGCTGTGCATTGTGCTGTGCTGTGCTGTGCTGTGCATTGTGCTGTGCTGTGCATTGTGCTGTGCTGTGCATTGTGCTGTGCTGTGCTGTGCTGTGCATTGTGCTGTGCTGTGCATTGTGCTGTGCATTGTGCTGTGCTGTGCTGTGCATTGTGCTGTGCTGTGCTGTGCTGTGCTGTGCATTGTGCTGTGCTGTGCATTGTGCTGTGCTGTGCTGTGCTGTGCATTGTGCTGTGCTGTGCATTGTGCTGTGCTGTGCATTGTGCTGTGCTGTGCTGTGCTGTGCATTGTGCTGTGCTGTGCATTGTGCTGTGCTGTGCTGTGCATTGTGCTGTGCTGTGCTGTGCTGTGCTGTGCTGTGCATTGTGCTGTGCTGTGCATTGTGCTGTGCTGTGCATTGTGCTGTGCTGTGCTGTGCTGTGCTGTGCTGTGCTGTGCATTGTGCTGTGCTGTGCTGTGCTGTGCTGTGCTGTGCTGTGCTGTGCATTGTGCTGTGCTGTGCTGTGCTGTGCATTGTGCTGTGCTGTGCATTGTGCTGTGCTGTGCATTGTGCTGTGCATTGTGCTGTGCTGTGCTGTGCTGTGCTGTGCTATACAGTTTGTATTTTAGTTTCTTATACAAAATCGAATGACTTGTACGAGTCGTGAAAGCGAGTAATAATGGGGGGGGGGGGGGGGGGGGGGTAGGTAAACACATAATTGCTTGCCTTGTTGCGATGCCCATGAAGACATTCTACTGCTGCCTTCACAAGAGCTGAAGGATTGCTGTGCGCGGATCCGACTCATTACAGCTGAGAAAGGCTATCCATGCTTGTCCGACTTGATACCCACAGTGTGGGTTTTCAGTGTGGAGGCTGCCTTCACTTGGCCACCAGTCATACTAAACACCACCAGTCATGCTAAACACCACCAGTCATACTAAACACCACCAGTCATACTAAACACCACCAGTCATACTAAACACCACCAGTCATACTAAACACCACCAGTCATACTAAACACCACCAGTCATACTAAACACCACCAGTCATACTAAACACCACCAGTCATGCTAAACACCACCAGTCATACTAAACACCACCAGTCATACTAAACACCACCAGTCATGCTAAACACCACCAGTCATACTAAACACCACCAGTCATACTAAACACCACCAGTCATGCTATACACCACCAGGATGAACAATGTGACCAGTCATGCTAAACACCACCAGGATGAACGATGCTTGCTCAACGTTGATCATGTGGCTCTCGTAACTCCTCTTCTTTTCTTCATGCGTCCTGAGGCTGCCAGCGATCGTCGCTTTCCGATTTGAAGAGGCGAATAAGTTGAAACCCAGACATCAAGAAAGGTCGTCTCAAACCATCCACCAAGATTATCTCTTCTCCTCGGATTTTACCGAGCGCAAGTGTACATGGGTCATGTACATTGTGTGATGTCATTGTGTGATGTCATTGTGTGATGCCATTGTGTGGTGTGATGTCATTGTGTGATGCCATTGTGTGGTGTGATGCCATTGTGTGATGCCATTGTGTGATGTCATTGTGTGATGTCATTGTGTGATGTCTTTGTATTACTGCTGCTTCAGCGCAGATATGTCCAGGAGTGTTTCATACTCTTATTGATGTGTGTGTGTATATATGTGTGTGTGTGTGTGTGTGTGTGTGTGTGTGTGTGTGTGTGTGTGTGTGTGTGTGTGCACGTGCGCATACGCTTTTACACGTGTGCATTTAGCCGTCCCCGTCATCACCAACCCCAGCACATGATGCAGCACAAGCGCGTTTCTTTGACAATCCAAAGCGCTATGATAGTGACGCAGATGAAGACTTGCCTGGACCGTTGCCTCCGTAAGTTTTCCCAGGCACTATGTGTTTTTGTATTGGTCACTTCAGTGCGATGTCCACAGTATTATGCAGGGCTCTTCTCGATGTTACTCTGTCGTTCATCTACTCCGAAACATGTGGTCCATCCATGATGTCCAGGATCAGTTCATCGGCTGACCCACCAGCGAGTGCTTCACGTAGCCGAGCCATCTTGTAAACCTCGCTAACATTGGGAACGTTTCCACCAGACTCAAGAATCTTGTGAACCTCGCTAACATTGCCAACGTTTCCACCAGACTCAAGAATCTTGTAAACCTCGCTAACATTGCCAACGTGTCCACCAGACTCAAGAATCTTGTAAACCTTGCTAACATTGGGAACGTTTCCACCAGACTCAAGAACGTTTGGCGCCAGCGCACATCATTCTCCTCACTGCCGTCACACAGAGGTAGTAGTAGCTTCAGCGGCTGCAGGTGTGGTCGATACATTCCAGCAGTTCCATGAGGATATGCTGCTGCTGCTGCTGGCAGTGCGTAAGACATGACTAGTGCGGCTGGTGCGGCTGGCAATGTGTACTGAGGCTCTATCTGCCTGAGCACAATGTGTAGCCCAACCCTGCATGCTGGCTCTGTGCAGCTGCTGGTACACTTTGTCTTTGCTGACTCTGTGCAGCTGCTGGTACACTTTGTCTTTGCTGACTCTGTGCAGCTGCTGGTACACTTTGTCTTTGCTGACTCTGTGCTGCTGCTGGTACACTTTGTCTTTGCTGACTCTGTGCTGCTGCTGGTACACTTTGTCTTTGTCTTTGTCACTTTGCTGCTGCTGCTGCTGCTGCTGTTGCTGCTGCTGCTGCTGCTGCTGCTGCTGTTGCTGCTGCTGCTGCTGCTGCTGTTGCTGCTGCTGCTGCTGCTGCTGCTGCTGCTGCTGCTGCTGCTGCTGCATACATGGCTGCATGTAGATAGTTGCAGGCTGGTACTGAGGTCTTGAGGTTTTGGACTATTGTCTGGTCTACTGAGGTTTTGGACTATTGTCTGGTCCCGCTGCAAACGCTTCTTTCACTGTTACTGGTACTCTTGTACCATGTCACACACAGTTGTGGACACTACTCTTGTACCATGTCACACACACTTGTGGACACTACTTATGTTGGCAGGTAGATTGGCTTGCCCTGTTGCTAGTTTCCGGCTGCTGGCAGTAGTGGGTCTAGCCGAGTAACCACGCACTACTCTGGCTGCCTTTCTGTGCTGGCCAGGCACTGTATGTGTAACTGCTGGGACACTTGACAGGGTGTTATCTGTGTTACCTGGCTGCACTTGACAGGATGTTACCTGGCTGCACTTGACAGGGTGTTACCTGGCTGCACTTGAGAGAACTACTTGAAAGAACTACTTGGCCTTGGCAATGCGGGGGCAGCGGCTGGCTCCTGGTGTCCGTGTCCGGCTCCACAAGAGGAGTACACGTGATGGTATCTACTGCTGCAAAAGCTATACATGCCCTTGTTGAAGCTATACATGCCCTTGTTGAAGGCGTCACAGGTGTGAGTGGTACTGCCAGCGGAATTCTGTGCTTGAGTCCGTGGGGTAGACAGGCAGGACGCAGCAACATGTCCGTACTTGTTACAGGCGGAGCAAAATGACAGAGACTGGCCGGTGAAACAACGGGTGTAAAGGTCCATGTCAATCTTATCCCACTGCACCTCCGAGCAGCATGACGCTCTCTGGCGGAACTGTACGTCGTACTCAGCTACTGCTGCCCATCTGGACCTCTTGGCCGCCTGCAAAACCTGTAGCTGATATCCCCACAGTTCAAGAGACTTGGCCGGTTGCTGGTCAGAGATGATGCAGCAATAAATTGTCCATGCTTCGAGCCACATGCAGAGGGATACGCAGATGCTGCTGTCACCACCAACTGGCCGTCTTGCTCAGAGAAGCAAATGCGTTTCTGAAGTGGTTCATCGGCAGAGTTTATGAGGCCGGCAGGGGGCAACAGGCAGCTGAGATCAATACACCCCCCCCCCCCCCCCGAGTACTTTCGCAATTATCGTCATGCTTACATGGCTCTGCACGGCAGTAGCTCGAGGCTTACCGGAGGCAGGCGTCGGGAACAAGGCTGCTGCTGCTGCTGCTGGTACAGACACAACCAATTGGTTGGCTGTCACGGCTGACTGGCCGTCGAAAGGGAGAACATCAGTTTCATCATGTATTTAGGGTACATCAAGGGCTTGTCCGGCGCACCCGCGGTCGGAGCAGGAGCAGAATCCGCCAGCTGCGGCAAAGCTACCGAGATGGACGCGGCGATCATTTCTTGCAGCTATGCTGACTGCCTCACAGTAAACCACCCTGCGACACTGTGGACTAACTGAGAAAACACAACCTTGAGTCACCTTGAATAACTGGATGACAGAAATTTGTTGACAGGGAAGTTGCTTTGCTGACGCGAGGCAAGGCAAAGCGGCTATGTAAGTTTTATTTTTTTCATCCGCCATTTTCGAAAAATTATTTTATATTCATCATGTGCTGCGTGACGAACCCGTGACCAACACGTGCATGCGTGGGCTTAAATTGGCTTTGCTGCTTAAAACCGTCATTTAAGACTCCTTTCTCCGAAACACCTGTTAGCTACAGTCCATAAGCCTTATGCACGTTGTACAGATGCACGAAATCCCGTAGAATCTCGTGGAATCCCGTAGACCCGGTTGGGTGTTGAATGTGCTGGACGCTACTGTATAAGTGCAAATTTTCGTTATTTCACTCCACCAGCAGGCTTGTTACGTACTAAATTTCGTTATTTCACTCCACCAGCAGGCTTGTTACGTACTAAATTTATTTTTTAGTCGAGGCCTGTCACCCCGAACGTTCAGAAAAACAACTTTTGTTATTTCGTGCCCCCTAACGAATATAGCGAAAGTTAATTCCAAACGAAAATTTGTACTTATACAGTATTGTGTTTACTGCTATTTCCACTAAGAAATGGCCCTGAAAGCTTTTCATACGAAAACTTTTTTCTGACAAAGATCTAGCTAGTCATTAGTTCTAACCAAAGTGAAGAAGCTGGAAAAGCGATTGTTTGCCAATCATTATAAGGCTAAAATTGGTCCAATGCGCATGCATAGCACACAATGAACACCCAGCCATGTATAGCACACAATGAACACCCAACTGGGTATGTACACACCTACGGTCCTAGTACAGAACTTCCTACATCTGTACTATGTCCATAAGGTCTATTCATAAAAAGGTGATATCCTAGCCTTTGGCCATAGATGGGTCAAATTTTGAGTTTTTCACATTTTTTCTGTAATCCCCCGTGGACTGCTCTTCCAACTATGTTTTTGAAGTCTATTTCTTCAAAAAGCAAGCTATACCAAGAATAGGATTTCGGCCAGGTTTTGCCCCAAAAGCACTGAATTGGGAAAAACCATGAAAATGCCTTCACTGGGGGCAGGGGTAACTGCAGTTGGATCCCGGGACGGATACCTTGATGCCGTCAATCCTTTTTCTTCACCTTGTCCGCACCCATTTACTGAGGTGTGGTGAGCCCATAAGTGGGATCATTTCCAAGTCCACCCATAGTTTGGGGATTTCAGCCTTTTCAGGGGGTGTCGGTCGTTGGTCAGCTCAAGAGCCACCTTTCCAAGATTCCTTTTGACTCTAGTTTTGAGTCTCTCTCCCCTCTCCCGGGGAGACCCACATTACCAATTTTGGCAGTGAGCAAGTACAAGTACAAGTGTGTCATAAGGCAAGACCAAAATAAAATCGAGATTCCCGAGCAGGACCCATGGGAAATTGGCGCGGGCGGATGAATTTTTCTTTTTTTCTTTGTATGTATGCATGGCATGCTGAACTCTCTTTTACAGTATGTTCCGGTAATTTTTATTTTTTATTTTTCTACAGACAACAGGTACAGACAACAGGTACAGACAACAGGTACAGACAACGGGTACAGACAACGGGTGCAGACAACGGGTACAGACAACGGGTACAGACAACGGGTACAGACAACGGGTACAGACAACGGGTACAGACAACGGGTACAGACAACGGGTACAGACAACGGGTACAGAAAACAGGTACAACAGGTACGCGACTTTAATACCTGTATAAAGTTGTTGTATTTCGGACCAACGACGGACGGCCCTGAGTCAGGGAGTCATTCAAGTGCGGGTTTGTGTGACTCGCTGACTCGCTGTCATACATGTACATGTAGATCTACACACATGATCAGTACTGTACATGTATATGAACTGTTCAAAATAAATTGACTTCCGCTTGATTTTGGTGCGGGAGGGCCCGGGAATCTCTATTTTTTTGGTCTCGTCTAATGACCTATGGCCATAAAGGGCGATTCACAATACAACTTTCTGCGACGCGACACGCGATTTGCGACAGTTGCGACAAGAAACTGCCTGCCACGAGCTGTCGCAAGGCACCTGTCGCAGAAGTTGAAGAAAGTTCAACTTTTGCGACATGCGACACCCGACATACACAAATGGAGTACAGTTTCGACCCTGGGTGCACGTGCAGTGCACGTGCATAGTACTACTTGTGCATGTGGCATGCGTAACAGCCGTGGTGGATGTCGCAAACATGAAGAATACAGGTCGTCCCTCGTTAATACATAGTCTCTGGGACTTGACAAATGTTATGTACATGTATTAACGGGGTTTATGTACTAAACGAAAGTGTACTTAACTTGCTTGTGTACCAGAATTTTTCACTTTTTTCTACTGTTCTGATTGTTTCTTGCTACCGGTGACTAGGCAGCGAGTTATTCTTGATTCCCTCGATATAACATAAAAATTATGTTTTAACGGTCACAGTTAGCGAAGATTCTACAGTTTACATGATACATACCCAGCTGCACCTGTACAGTCACTCGGAAAGAAAACAGAGCTTTGTTGGTTTGTGATGTGCGCTCTGATTTCTGAGCTAATTGCGTCCACAAGTAGAAACTAAAACACGATGTGCCTCCTCTGGAAGGCCAAAGACCAACAAATGATGTACTATTGAGGTAGGTGGCATGTGGGTACGGAGAAATGTTATGTACTAACGAGGTTTATGTACTAACGAATTATGTACTAACCGACAAAATTTATATGGAAGTGACCACGTTTCGTCCGGGACTTGAGATTTCTTATGTACTAACGGGGTTTATGTACTAATCGGACTCGTATTAACGGGGGACAACCTGTATTGTGAACCGTGTGTCGCTGTCGCAGCTCGTCGCATGTGTCGCAAGTCGCATGTCGCGTCTCAAGAAGTTGTATTGTGAATCAGCCTTAAGTCTGAGAACTCTTTCCACCATTCGACCACCTCAAAATAACTGCATATAAGCAGTCCGTATGTAGGTTAGGCGGGTGGCGTGTTCTTTTCTGTTAGGCCACCCAGAATTAATTTGCTGTTTCGGGTCACCCGACCGACCGTCTTTTTTCACCCGACCGCAAGATATTTTTTTATTGTGCATGCAAATGACTATGGGCATGATCGATTGGGCGAATCCCGAGCCAGTGTGCTCAGAGTGAGCGTAATCGTTTGGTCGAATCCGATCGAATCCGGAGTAGGTGTACTTGGAGTGGAATCCGACCACACCGGCCTCCACACCCGGAGTGGCTGGAGTGGAAATGGACTTTGCCGTTTTTGGACAGCTTTCACAGAATCTTTGTACGATATGTGTACATTTTGCGTACTACACCCTTGTTTTGTTCGATTGGGCCAGCGTTGCTCGGACCACACCGACTGCTCGCACTCAATCCAGATTCGCCAATCGATGACACCCTATGTACATGACTCTAGTCATCGACCTCATGGCGTCATGCTCAGAAGCAGCCGAATGACAGGATGCAGCGCTTGGTGACGAAGTTGTCTTCTATTATCTCCGATCCGCAATCGGTCCTGAAACAGGTCAGCATCAGCTCCGCCACCGTGTCGCTCATTGACAAAAGTTCTGGTGAGAGCTGCTCGTCAGACTCGTTTGCAAGCGAGACCAAGATCTGGTCCTGGAGTGGAGGGGACCTTGATCTGATGGGACAATGGCTGCGCTGGATCGTCTACAGTCAGATTTGATCGACTAGCTTGATGGACAAAACCCATTGGATATGCACAATTGTACAATCATGTATGCACCGTCGCACCGCAGTAACCAAAATAAAATATAAAATAAACCCGACCGACCGACCCTGGTACGGATGAGTGAAGTGACCCGAAACAACGAATTAATTCTGGGTGGCCTTACTTTGTGTTAGATGTGTATGACACTGATGTGTTTGTTTTCTCAAGTTCTTACCTTATTTATTCTATCGGTTGTCCTGTTGGGATTGTGTGCATGCGTGTGCGCGTGCGTGTGTGTGTGTGCGTGTGCGTGTGCGTGCTTGTTTGTGCATACTAGGTTTGGTTTCAATGCCAATCCCTCTACACCAGCCATACATCCTGTGTATGGAAGTACCAACTCTATTGTCCAGTCCAGTCTGCCATCACCTGCTTACGGTGGTGGTGGTGGTGGTGGTGGTGGCAGTGGTGCATCTTCCCTGCAGAATGGTAACACTACAACATCGTCGTATGAATATCGTATAGGCTCCGGTCCAGGATATTACTATAGTGAGCGCAGTGAACGTACATAGCTGCACAGTGCCATAGCTGCACAGTGCCATAGCTGCACAGTGCCATAGCTACACTGGGCCATAGGCTATTAGCTACACAGTGTCGTAGCTACACTGGGCCATAGCTACAATATGCTCAGTATCATGGGCAAGTGAACACTTGAGCGTGCACAGTACATGCACGAAGCAGCCGGTCATGCTCTTGAGGTGTACCCCTTATGTCAGGGTATGTTTTCCAGCAGCACCAACACTAGCTCCATCATGTATCAGTAATCCTGCAATGTGGATTATGCCATGCTGTATTGGCATGTGCAATGTACTGATGTTGAGCACGACCCTTTTGACATTACGCCCACTGGCACTAAGCTCTACAATGTGCTGTACCTGTTCCTCACATTGGTCATTGTGATACTCGACTACAGCAATACTAACTACATCATTGTATAGCAACAGCAGCAGCAGCAGCGGGCCATTGTACATCTGTACGTTCCAGCTCTTCCAGCACTTGTTCTGTGCTGAATAATTTTTTCCCCATACTCCATGATTTGAAGATAGCTCCGCGTCATGTTACTTACATACCCAGGTATACGGAGATATGCCGTTTGATTTTGCACACGCATACGGAGATATGCCGTTTGATTTTGCACACGCATACGGAGATATGCCGTTTGATTTCTCACACGCACACACACTATAGTTGTATCAGTGCTTCTCTCTATTTAGTCATGTAGTGTACACGGTTTCCATGGTTACTATGTCCGCCGTGCTTTTCGGAAACCTTACTTTTACCTAGTCACTTGAAGCTTTGAAAAACTGTTTAGAAGTGTTACGCTGTTCTAGCATTGCGGGAGTTGTCAGTAGTGCACCATCACTGCCATTGCTACTGCCATTAGTTCGGCTACTGCTAGTCTAGCAGTAGCCGAACTAATGGCAGAGTCGACGTCCCGTCCAACTCTGCTTTTGTGAGTTTCTCTCTTGATTTATCTGGTGGTGTGCTTGAGTTGACATACTGCACGCACCGCCTAGCTGTATGTACGTATGTTCATGATTGCTGGTTTGAATATTGATCCCTGATTGGCTGGCTTGTTTTCTGCCCAAGTACCTAATACAATGCAGTATGGTTAGGGTACCCTGGCCTAGGGAAAGGCAGCCACAATGCAGCATGATATCACCCCTGTGTTGTACTGTGTTCAGCCCTGGAGGCTATTTTGTATTTTTACTTCACCAACTTTCACCGTATTTATTTGTGTTTTTTCGGCATCTTATTACTACTCTAGTACTTGCAAGTACAGTAGCTGCTGCTATATACAGTATACACTGTACACTGTACACTGACACTGTACTGTACATACATGTACATGTATGTACAGTAGCTGCTGTACAGACATAGCGTTACTGCAGTGACAATACACTGTATCGTATGTTCTCACTTTCTCACTGAACGTTTCCTGCGTTCGGCTTTACTTCAGAGCCTCAGCGTGAGGAAGCCATCGCTATCATTGCTATGGCAATGGGCGTTCAAGGACTTAGGTTCAAGGTGCTGCGGCAGATGGAGGGTGTATGCATGTGTCGTCTGCGAGTTGTGGGTCTAGCAGTACAGTGCATGCGCCAATGAAGATAAGATAAGTAATTTTAAAAGTTCCATGCCATGGAGTGGATGCTTGAATGCAGGTTTTTTGTAAGATGGGAAATTCAATAATTTACATTGAGCGTACGTGGATGGCTTCTTATTAGGGGCGCGTTTGGTTGGTACGAACTAGAACAGGATTCACCAGAACAGCGCGTTTGGTTGGGTCTGCACCTGTTCTGGGTCGGCCAGAACATGTTCTGCTTGCTCCGGCCTCGAGGCCGGAGCAGACCGAGCAGTTTCCCTTTTTCACTGTGAAACCTGGCGGGAACATCGATTTTGGTCCCAAATGATCACGTGCATACGATTTTGGGTTGGATTCGTTGTACCGTACAAAGTGACCATGGTGACCCATACACATTATGGAGAATGCACGTGCGCGCATCAAGTTTGGCCAAGAGTACATGAAAACCTTTTCATGTACTCTTGGTTTGGCACATTCTTTTCACAAAAATGTGCTCTGTTTCTGGAGTACCGTTTGGTTGGCATGAGGCTGCTCCATGTGCACCAGCTGTTCGATCCTGTTCTAGATCGTACCAACCAAACGCACCGGGTGCGTTTGGTGTTCTTATCCATGCAGAGGGAGGATGTCTGGAAGTTCTACACCTGACATTGTTACCTGACATTGTTTGCAGTGTACTTGCCAGCAAGAGTCTGTACAATGTTATGTAAACCATGTACCAGCCTACCAGGTCAGCGTATCTGCTTATCAAGAAAGCTTTTTGTTGGACTAGCACAGCTCACACGCACACACACACACACGCACACACACACACACACACACACACACACACACACACACACACACACACACACACACACACACACACACACACACACAAAAGTTTTGACTTGTTTGTCAGAACATGTAATGGTTTGTCTGTGCTGTGCATGCAGTGTAATCATTGTGTGTCACGTGCGTCTCTACATGTCGGCGCCGCCTAGGAGGTGTTGCACCCGCGCCGCGTGACCATGGCATGGGCATTTCCAAAATTCCAAAAAAATAACATCGCAAAAGGAGTGCAGTGAGATGAGTGGAGAAGCGAACAACGGTTGACCCAGCAAACAAAGAAAACAAAAAACCACTACGTTTTCTTTGTGAGTGTACTGGAAGTTAGTAGTTAGTAACGTGGTGTCTAGTTTTGGAAGATGGTGGATACTGTGAAAGAAGAAGCTGTTGCCCTCTTCAAAGAGACTTATGGCAGCGAGCCAACTCATGGTGCTTTCGCTCCTGGCCGAGTCAATTTGATTGGCGAGCATACTGATTACAATGATGGTTTTGTATTTCCAATGGCTTTGCACGACAAAGTGTGTGTGTTGGTTGGCCGCAAAACTGACTCTGACAGGTGTCGCGTAGTTACATCAGCCGCAGTTGATGGAGAATGCCGTTATGAGTTCCCCACACCAAGCCCTACCAACCCTTTGACACCTGCTGTGGAGGCCAAGTGGTACAGCTACTTCCTTGGTGTTGTGGCAGGATTTGACCAGAACCGTGGAAATATTCCTGCATTTGATGTGGCTATTTCCACATCAGTTCCATTGGGTGGTGGATTGTCAAGCTCAGCGTCGTTGGAGGTGAGATATCCTACGAAACTAGATCCCATTTACACTAAACGGTTAGCTGCAAATATTTCTAAGGTTTAGACAGGTTCTGCAAAATCACTCAGAAATTCCTATGTCAGCAGCTGCGAATAATACTGCAAAATCTTGTCACGAAAAAGTTGTTCAGCAGTTATTTGTGCAAATACGGTGGAATCGATCACCCCACCAGTAGTGTACCCATCGATCTGGCCCCAGGCTGTCGAGTTTCTACTTGTGAAGCGATTTCCATGTGCACATCAAAATACGGTGTTTACCCGACATACCGTATTATCTCTAATATAAGCACAGTCTCCAATAATAGCACGTCTCCAATAATAGAACACCTTGGGGCGGCATTCAAAAAATAAAGTGCTCAGTCTCCATTATAAGCACACTGTGTCAATTCATTATCTGTACCGGCAAAAAAAACCCTGAAATGTGTGTGTCATACATGAATTTGGCATGGCAACATGCCTCTGAAATGAGGTTGAAATACTAATGGAACAGTCTCCAATAAAGGAACGTCTCCATTAATAGCACGGGGCGGAGGAACATTGAAAAAATAAAGGACCGTGCTTATATTAGAGATAATACGGTATGCACTGAAGTATGCAGTACATTCCAGTGCAGGTATTCCTGTGCAGGTATTCCTTTGCAGGTATTCCTGTGCAGGTATTCCTGTGCATGGAGCTGTACACAATCGATCACAGCACATCTGATATTTTCACATTGTAACTACTACCGGGAATTGTGTGTTGCTCCCTACGTGAGAGCTCAACTACTGGGAATTGTGTGTTGCTCCCTACGTGAGAGCTCAACTACTGGGAATTGTGTGTTACTCCCTACGTGAAAGCTCAACTACTGGGAATTGTGTGTTGCTCCCTACGTGAGAGCTCAACTACTGGGAATTGTGTGTTGCTCCCTACGTGAGAGCTCAACTACTGGGAATAGTGTGTTGCTCCCTACGTGAGAGCTCAACTACTGGGAATTGTGTGTTGCTCCCTACGTGAGAGCTCAACTACTGGGAATTGTGTGTTGCTCCCTACGTGAGAGCTCAACTACTGGGAATTGTGTGTTGCTCCCTACGTGAGAGCTCAACTACCGGGAATTGTGTGTTGCTCCCTACGTGAGAGCTCAACTACTGGGAATTGTGTGTTGCTCCCTACGTGAGAGCTCAACTACTGGGAATTGTGTGTTGCTCCCTACGTGAGAGCTCAACTACTGGGAATTGTGTGTTACTCCCTACGTGAGAGCTCAACTACTGGGAATTGTGTGTTGCTCCCTACGTGAGAGCTCAACTACTGGGAATTGTGTGTTGCTCCCTACGTGAGAGCTCGCGCTTTTCCTGCTGAATTAAATTCTCACTTGACTGACTCACAACTGCCATCCAGAGCACACGAGAAGTCCATCGAACCTTCCACTCGGCAAATCTGCAAGAACGCACCACCCCCTGCTCAATACGCAGTGTTTCGGGGAATTCACCCCTCATCAGTTGAGCTTGAGTAGGCTGAGGAAGATTGTGCCTGAAGAGCACCACTTATATAGTGCTCTCCAGGCACAAACATCACCAGGGATACAAACTTACAGAGACGCTCCGTTTTCAGCGCGAAAACACCTCGTAAACACCAGATAGCAGCGTGAGTCAGTGTCGCTCATGGAGGTGCTGAACAAACACTGAGGACCGTTGGCCGTTCACAACGTTGTTGCCTCCAAACCATCTAATTCGCAAGCCTGCGCCGGGGACAGCAATGTGAAGAAGAGGTTGGTGCGACTTTGGCGATACTTGGGGAATTGTGTGTTGCTCCCTACATTGGAGCTCACGCGTAACTACTACTTCAAAAGGTATTACATACGAGAGGGGGGGGGGGGGGGGGGGGGGGGGGCTTTTTGTTCGAGAGGTTTCCGTAGAAACTGCTTCTTTCTGTAGATGAGCTCCACCGGGCGTGCGCTCTGGTAGAAGTCGGTAAAAGTAGTTCGAGGTACAGTGTTGCTATGCATGTACGCCCATGAGAGCTAGTTTTCAAACAAATACCTCTACATGCTGCTGCTGTCTTGCATGCATAGACTTTACATTGATGTTCTGCCAAAATGGGTGGATCAGCGTTCTTCATGCACGCAGAACGATCAATTTCTGGCTTCATTTTCGCTCTATGAACTGGAAAACATGAAAATCGAATAATGAGTAGGGTACTGTAATTTCACAAATTTTCGGTGTACTTTTATTTTCGGTACTTTACTTTCGGTGCGTCTGTTTCATACCTAAAATTTCAATATACCGAACAAACACGAACACACATAATCCAATAGGGAACCGCTTCTCTGTACCGAAAATTTCTGTTCACCTAACCTGGCCTGTTGCCCTCATACCGAAAATTTTGAGCACCGAAAATTTCTGAGTAGTGCGCTATCAGAGTGTGTGTGTGGGGGGGGGGGGGGGGGGCTGCACCTTCTCCCCCCCCCCCCCCCCGGCTAGAACCCTTCTATTCTTGCAAGTAGAGTAAAAATAAAAATAAATTAACACAGCAGGGAGGCGAATACGACTCCGTGCATTTGATTCTGAAAAGATGAAGCTGGCCACAACGAGGGTTTCCCCTCAGTTCTTGATTAGTCCAGAAAAGAGTGAGATTGATTTGTCGAGTAGGCTGGGTCTGCTGCTGGGTCTCTTACACGAACGCAACCGTATGCTCTGTCTTGTGTGTTGTGTGTTATTGCTGTTGTTACTGTGATTGTTGTGTATGTTGGTAGGTAGCCACCTTCACGTTCCTGGAGGAGTTATGCCCAGACCTGAAGAGTACAGATCTAACTGCCAAGGCACTGGCTTGTCAGAAAGCGGAGCACGACTATGCGCATGTGCCTTGTGGTGTCATGGACCAGTTCATTGCAACCATGGGTCGCCAAGGTAACGCATTGTTGATTGATTGCAGAGCACCACCTACAGGTGAGCTAGTGCCGTTCAATGATCCCGACACTGTGATTGTTGTTACAAACTCTAACATTAAACATGCCCTCGGCTCATCGGAGTATCCGAAAAGACGTGCAACTTGTGAGCAGGCTGCAAAGGTCCTGGAGAAGCCAGCGCTACGCGACTGTGACTTGCAGTTGCTTGAGTCATTCAAGAGCCAGCTGTCTGACCTGCAGTATCGCCGTGCTCGTCACGTCATCACGGAGTGCAAGAGAACTATGGATGCTGTCGCTGCTCTGCGTGCCAATGACATGGCCACGTTTGGCCGTCTGATGTACGAAAGCCACGAGTCATTGCGAGCTGATTACGAGGTTAGCTGCGGCGAGCTAGATCACTTGGTAGCGTTGGCTAAAGAAGTTGATGGTGTGTATGGAGCCAGGATGACCGGCGGTGGCTTTGGTGGTTGTACTGTGACTTTAGTGAGAAAGGATGGTGTTGATGCCCTTATCAAGCACATCAAGCAGGGCTACCCAGAGAATCGTGCCACATGCTTTGTTACCACTGCCGGTGCGGGAACTGCCGCCATCTCCTTGTGAACCCGTTGTACCGCCATGGCAATCTATCACCATGGTAGTTAACAATGCTACCTAAACACATTGCTGCGCAATTGCCACCATTGGCAATGGTATTTTTATTCAGTCATTTGTACACCAGCTTTCTGTTTGTAGGCCATTCCCGATTTCCTTTAGAGACTTTTCCAGCACTTTTTTGCCAATGCCTGAATCTCTGCTCTGTGTCACATGCTTTTTTGCTGATATTTTCACCATGTACCAGCATGGTATATCTGATGATGTCATCACTGTCACATGACCCCAATGTGGTTATGATGTTGTTTATATAGCTGCACCAGTATGGCACTACATGTAGCAGTGACCTCAACATTACTAGTAGTGTGCGTGCATGCATGTGTGCGTTCTGAGCAGATCGCAGCACAAACCCAATCCCGCTGCTCGTTGTGCTTGGTGTAAAGGCAATTACAAACTTGTCTAGCTCGCACTGTGCTCACACCCGGTCCAATGGAGGATGCTTCTTTTCTCAGCATCATGACTTTGTTTTGTTGTTTCTATTTTTGTTCTATTCCCTGTATATCCGGGTAGCTAGATGCACCTGGTCGTATACTTGTCTGTGCAGTACAGATACGTCATAATAATAATACTTAGTACTATAGTAATAGTATGTCACCAAGCTCAGAGAGCACTGGCTAGGCATACAACAAGCTCAGAGTGCACTGGCTAGGCATGTGTTAAGCTCAGAGTGCACTGGCTAGGCATGTGTCAGCTAGTGCACTGGCTAGGCATGTGTCAGCTACATGACTGTAGCTACATGTACATGTAGGGCAATTCCATTTCCTGCATGCCAGATTTATGCAATTTGCCTTGGACGCAAATGCTCTTGTGTATGTGTGTGTGTGGGGAGGGGGGGGGGGGGGAGGAGGTTGCGTGTGTGTGGGGGGGGGGGGGGGGGGGAGGGAGGTTGCGTGTATGTATGTGTGGGGGGGGGGGGGGGAGGAGGTTGCGTGGATGTATGTGTGTGTATGTGGGTAGTAAAGATTTTCCTGTCCCTGTCTGTCCCTGTCACATGTGATTGTGTACAGGTGTGGTTAGAAAACAGGTGTGTAGTCCCTTTACTCATGTTACTAGGAAGTTAGTAGTATCACTATGGAGTATTGTATGACTCTATGACTCTATGACTCTATGACTCTATGACTCTTTGACTGTATGAGTGAAATGATAAGAATGGGTTCTAGCTCGTCTTCATGACAACTGATTGGGACTTTGTACGTCTAAGAGGAATACGTAGCACCTCGTTGGCCCCGATGGACCTGAAGATGATAACACTTCTGTGTCGGACTGTCGGTCATTGCATAGGTCTTGAAAATGTGACTTCAGTACTCGCCTGTTATTGCGTGTAAGTATCTACCCTGCAATTTGGTGATGCCATCCTTTCCCAATAAGGAAGGTGGTGGAAGTTTGGCAAGTAAAACAAAAACATGTTAGTGTTTGTTTTCCATCCATTCTAGCCCTAATCGTGAGCCACTAGCAGACAGATATTGCGGCTACTAGTCGTGTAGACCCGGTCCAAATTGGATGCGGTTGCACAGTACATCAATAAGCTTGTTCACAAGCGTAAATGTGCGGATCATGTGCAGTTGCATATGGCAAGGCAGGTCTTGTGTGGTTGTGGCAAGGTAGGTCCTGTGTGGTTGTGGCAAGGCAGGTCCTGTGTGGTTGTGGCAAGGCAGGTCCTATGTGGTTGTGGCAAGGCAGGTCCTGTGTGGTTGTGGCAAGGCAGGTCCTGTGTGGTTGTGGCAAGGCAGGTCCTGTGTGGTTGTGGCGAGGCAGGTCCTGTGTGGTTGTGGCAAGGCAGGTCCTGTGTGGTTGTGGCGAGACAGGTCCTGTGTGGTTGTGGCAAGACATGTCCTGTGTGGTTGTGGCAAGGCAGGTCCTGAGTGGTTGTGGCAAGGCAGGTCCTGTGTGGTTGTGGCAAGGCAGGTCCTGTGTGGTTGTGGCAAGGCAGGTCCTGTGTGGTTGTGGCGAGACAGGTCCTGTGTGGTTGTGGCGAGACAGGTCCTGTGTGGTTGTGGCAAGACAGGTCCTGTGTGGTTGTGGTAAGGCAGGTCCTGTGTGGTTGTGGCAAGGCAGGTCCTGTGTGGTTGTGGCAAGGCAGGTCAGGTAGATCTACAGTCTGTCCCGGCGGGAATTTGCGGAAACAATCTCGAAAACTTGCGCAAGAAATTGCGGCAGAAAGTGACAAAAAATGCGACGAAAAGTGCGGAATGATGCAGAACTTGCCAGGAATTCGCGGAATTATTTGCAGAGAATTGCGGATTTGGGCCAAATCACGAAATTTGTTGCATCGTACATGTGGTATATCTACTCGGGAGTCGTACTGTGCAAAAAGAAATAACCTACAGGATCATGGAAAGAACTGCGTGAAAAGTGCATAAAAATGTGAGATATAGTGCAGAAAACAACAAAAAACGCGAGAAATCGCGGATTTTGCTGAAAATCGCGGGTTTGGGCCAAAATCGCGAAATTTGTTGCATCCGTGGAATCGCGATTTCCTGGAGGGACAGTGTAACAGTAACTGTTGAATGTGACAAGGCAGGTCAATGACTTATGTGCAATTGTTTGTGACATGGCAGCCTTGGCAGGTCGTGTGTGCACTTTCAGCAGTGCAGAAGAATTTGTTGTTGACACTGTCTGTATATCTGATTGTGTGTTGAGTGCAAGCAGCATGAGCAGCCTAGCCATGGTCACTACAACTTACAAGTGTTTTCGAAACATGTTAAACTACCAAGCAAGGCTTCTGTATATAACTTACAAGTGTGTACGTCAATCTGTGTTTCACTTGTCACAAGACTCAAGATCTTGCAAGCCGTGCACTTTCAAGTTCCATTGATAATAAAAGTACACTACGTACTCCGTACTTTCCTTGTTCATACGGATGATAAAGGTCATTGATAATAAGGAATGATAATAAAAGGATAGTGAAAACATTGTGACGCGCTACATGGTGACCAATGAAAAAAGGGTCAGCATTAAATATGTAGACAGGCAAAAAAAGTATCTTGTAGTTGAGAAACTGCTGCTGTGAAACCCTAACAAATAAACACTATCAACATCAGGGCTACTTTCTGGGTGGCTGGGCAAGGGACGGGAATACGAAATGTAAAAAATTCCTCCCGCACTACATACGACAATAGAAAAATGGTCTTATTTGCCTTGGGGAGGGGATATACTGTTGAAGTTGACACAATATTCTTCATCAAAGTGATTGAAAATAAAACATCTCAAGTGGAAAGACAGCCAGTTCTCCAGGAAATAATATAGTGCAGAGAGAGAGAGAGAGAGAGAGAGAGAGAGAGAGAGAGAGAGAGAGAGAGAGAGAGAGAGAGAGAGAGAGAGAGAGAGAGAGCTACATTCATAATAAAACAGGCCCGAGTGCTGAACTGCTAGCTCAGGCAGTCGCAGCATTCGGTCAGTTTCGACATAACTCTCTTACACTCCACGAGAGTGATCAATTACCTTCCATGTTAACTGGCCACGTCATGAATGTCCACATGCATCGTTTTAAAATGTAGAATTTGCCTTTGTTCAGCATCAACGTTGATGAGCCCACCATGATAGCAATAATAGTTTCTAGTCCTCAAGGAACGTAACTGGTAAATATCCCTCTGCGCCAGACTCGTTTAGTCCAAGTATCCAGCCATTATCACTAGCATCATCTTCCATCAGCATAATAGCTTCTCCCTTGGCAAAGGAAAGTTCATTATCATTTTCACCGCTGAAGTCACAAACAGCCACATAGACAGGATTACCTGGAGTACGTTTTGTGACTTGATCAGCAACTGGCGCTTCTCTACTTGGGGGTTCTTTTCGTTCTGGTTCAGTACTAAGTATGAGTGGAGCTGGTGAATGTTGTGTCGGTACCTCGGCTGCTGCGCTATCAGTCAGTGATGCCAATTCACTGTCAGTGGAAGTACTCGGTTTGCCACGATGCTTCACAGTAGCTGCTCTGCGTGGTGGTGGACCTGCCGGTCGCGGTGGTGGTCGGCTGCGAACAGATCCAGATGTATGAGCTAGTTTTTGTGGAACACCACGACACTTATCCAATGCTTGGTTGGCTAGAGGACGTGGTGGTGGAGGTCGTCTAACCCCAGGAGGTCGTTCCGGTGTCCTTGCGCCTCCTCCTGTAGTAGGAGTGCGGCATGCAGTCGGTGGAGTGATTGTCACAGTCGACATATCGCTAGCCCTGATCTTGCCAGAAGTACTAGCTACAGATGTTGGTGTGGTTGTGGGTGTGCGTGCCGCGGCTTGCATATTTGGTGAGCTATCGTGGCGGCGCGGCACAGGAGGCGGTGGCCTGGATGATTTTAACGGTGCTGGCGGGGGAGGTCGTGCCATCCTTACACTGCTAGAACGTTGCTGACTGGATACGGGAGCAGCAGACATTATCACACGTCTGCTGTACAAATTGACTAGAGATTCTGATCCTGATGCACAGTTACGCTTTACTTGCCTCAACACCACAACTGTATGTACGTCAAGTACAAGAGAGCAGCACACGCTTCCTAGAGATCGTCAAGAACGGCCGAAAGATTGCTAGATGCGGATGAGACTGATAAACAGTGCAGTACCAACAGGAGTGACCTCACCCAGCGACTAAAATCATCAAATTCTCAGCAAGCAACAGCTCCACAGGTCAGAGGGTAACCAACCATAATTATTGCGACTTCCACAAGGCAGCACAGGCAAATCCTTTCGCAAACACCTTGTTACGGCTTGTAGCACGTGCTTGACGCAGTAGGTATTCTGCTTCAAAACAGAACTGGATCACACTGACACTGTACTGGGCCTCCACCTCGGCTCTGTTTCTTTACTCACAAACTTTTTCGCCACTGAGCCCAAAACAGACTCCATCTACATATCATTGCAGTTCTGATGATCGACATCCGACATGTCCAACAGCTGATGGAGCTGAGCCAATAGTTACCGTACTTGGTAAATCCAAAAAAGCTGCACCAAGCGTGCTACACTTTAGTCTAGGAGCCAGGGGGTCATCAGAACTGAGCTGTGTGACACCCTGTCCAGGAAGGATTTTTTGACGGATTTGGAATGGCATAACAACCAGTAACTGACCTCTGAAAACCAGAATGTGCCAAAGTTGTCCGTTCAAGAGTTATGGCCTATTTACTAAAATTGCCATGGTTACCATAGCAACGTACATGTAAATTGCCTCTTTTTAGCTCAAAAGACATGCAATATGGGTCAAATAGATAATGAATGGCTGTCAAAGTCATAAGTGAAGATAAAAGTTCCCAAAACTGCCTTCAAAATATTATAAATGTCATCGAAAGTGAATTATTTAATACTGGTGTGGTTTGTACATGTATTTGGTATCATTATTACATTGTATGTAGAGGTAGTATCGAAGTTACTTATCAGTGGGAAATTGCTGTGTGGTCACCAGGAGCAGAGCTTGACACTGGCACATAGAAGTACAAAACAAGAACTTATACAAGTAGAAAAGAAAAAGGACCATCGAACTACAAGCTACGCTATAATATCCACTAACACCACTAAAATACTAAACAATCAGCTAATGCGATAACATTGCACGACACTGACCAACGGTACTGGCGTTCTACAACTAACTTGCTAACAGCTCTAGCACATCTTGGATGCGCACTACACCAGCCTTCCAACTTGGAAGGTTCTAAGTTATATGTATATGATAACATATGAGGGGAAGGTGATTGTTTAGTAACTGGTGGTGTTCGTGGATATTCTAGCATAGCTTGCAGTTCAATGGTCCTTTTTCCTTTCTATAAATTTATCCTTGGCTCTCCATCCAAAAACAAGAACTGTTCAGTATGCTTCATCAGCAAGGAATGAATCTACCCCAGGCCTTGGTGCAGAAGGGTGAGTCGTCAGGCAAAGCTGTTGCGGCTCTTCGCTAGTCCTTTTCTCTAATCCTCCAGCGACTACATCTGTCAACGAGGCACGATAACACTAACAGATCTTCTTCATGACTCCAGTGGGCTATCCATGAGTCGTCCCCCTTCCAAGACTCCCATAACTACATGTATATCCGTAGAGCCAAAGCCACCTTCCAGGCAGCTCTTTCAGGAGACATGTGCTGCTGCTCAGCCTGGTATGATGGTATCCCAGGTCCCGCTGCCCATTGATGGTGTGCTACAACCTCTCCATCCGATGGCCATCACAGATTTCAGGTCCAGAGCTTTTGCTGCAGCTTGACACATAGTCGCTGGAGGATAGAGAAAAGGACTAGCGAAGAGCTGCAACAGCTTTGCCTGACGACTCACCCTTCTGCACGGTCACTGCACCTACATGTACATGTAGGGCAGATTTATTCCTTGTTTGTGAAGCATACTGAACAGTTCTTATTTCGTACTTCTGTGTGCCAGTGTCAAGCTCTGCTCCTGGTGACCACACAGCAATTTCCCACTGATAAATAACGGCGATACTACCTCTACATACAATGCAATAATGATACTAAATACATGTACAATGTACATTGTACATGTACAAACCACACCAGTATTAAATAATTCACTTTTGATGACATTTATATTATTTTGAAGGCAGTTTTGGGAACTTTTATCTTCACTTATGACTTTGACAGCCATTCATTATCTATTTGACCCATATTGCATGTCTTTTGAGCTAAAAAGAGGCAATTTACATGTACGTTGCTATGGTAACCATGGCAATTTTAGTAAATAGGCCATAACTCTTGAACGGACAACTTTGGCACATTCTGGTTTTCAGAGGTCAGTTACTGGTTGTTATGCCATTCCAAATCCGTCAAAAAATCCTTCCTGGACAAGGTGTCACACTAACTCCTTATTCCTTGGACTTTTGCTGACTTGGCTCCTAGACTACTTGGAAAAGATCAAGACGTGAACACTGATGCGATGGTGAGCGTCCACGCGTTGCGAGCAAGAAAGTCGTACAGTTGTCGTACGCGAATGACGTACACTTGTGACTTAGGACTCTGCACCTACACTATACTAGGCTACAGTCCATTCACCTAGCTAGGTAGTACAGTACCTAGGACACACAATTATTATTTCACAAATCAAGCTGCAAGTGCTAGGAAAGTAATAGTTGTGCTCATGAAGAACTTCCGGAGACAGGTGAAGGCCTCTCTCATGCTTGTTTGTGAAGCAGCACTGCCAGCAGGCCACAGCTGGTTTTCACCAGGTCACCAGCAGATGTAGGATCTACGAGGCAGGTGCACCAGGCCAGGCCTGAGCTGAGCCTGACAGGCTGACAGCTCGACACGACGACAGGCTGACTCCCGGGAGCGCTACACAGAAACCCGTTGTCATGCATGTCGTCTGTCTATCATGGTCTACTACCAAGACTGGCAAGAGTGCATCTTAGTAAACAGTTTATGGACTCTTACTACTAGTACTACTCTGCAGATCTGTCATCATGACTACAAAAGTCGATCGACTTTTAAAATAAACTCGGATACTGAGCCAGTAATAAAAAAAATTTAATGTAAAAAGCGATCATGTTACAGTCGTGGATAGTTGCTGCACAACTCGTTCTCATGTGTTTCTTCAATAAATAACGACGACTGTCGTATATCATCAAGAGTAGATAAAACAAAACGTTTATCTACTCTTATATCATGCATGATGACAAGATCTTTAGCTAATAAATAGAGTGTTTATTGAGCATCTACATTGTAGTAGCTACATGACTGTGATTTTTGCATTTTTGCATTGATTTTCACGTCATAATTTTCTCAGATCAGTGACGTAAACTAATAACAATAATAATTTTCATAATTTTCTCAGATCATGTCATATCAGTGACGTTTAATTATTGACATCAATTTTCTTTTCTTTTTCGAAACGTCAGCCTGCCAACCAAATCGCCATTCACCAGTCACTGCATCGATCATATCAGCCATCACTTTGAGCAATTAAGTTTGAAAGGAAAGCATACTTTTGTAGCTTTCTGCGGAGTCTTCTCAACATAATAACGTGTGTTCTGCGCGAATTGCCGACTCTACCTTCCGCTGGCGTAGTGACTTTGACGTTTTTGTCCCGTTTAGTAGGCCTTGAGGTAGTTTCCTGAACTGTGCTTACAAGGAGGTAAGGGCGACGTGCCAGCAGCGGAGAATCATGGCCGAGGATGCAAAGCAATCAGTGAAGAATGTTACTCGTGGGGTGTTGACTACATTCAATCGTGCTCGTCAAGTAAGGATTAAATTGACAGCATTCTGTGTCATGTACAATCATAATGTCATTGTAGCTTTGGTCAATCATCACATATGTACATGTATCTCTAGATCCTATAATATAATTATAGGATTTTGGTCATATTTTTCAACTCAAAATGGGTGTGGCACGAGCATAGGGAAAAGTATGTGACCAATTCTTCCTTGCTAGGTCTTAGTAGACACTGGGAGTTGAATAAGATAATGTTTTCAAATACTAACATCTCAGACTCATCTCCTTGTGCAATATTACTAAGGCCTGTGCCCTATTTTTCGAATCCTATATAATTATAGGATTTGAGATTTTACTGGACCTTGTTTTATCCTTAAAACTGGTAGTTTCACGACGGCATGTGCGATATGTCGTCAAGAAACCACCCGGTGCCACACCTGTAATGTTCTGCACATTCACTGCTTCAGTCCTTTCCATGACACCAGCTGAACAATGCTGCTCAAAGTTTCAATTCTTGCTGAAAATGGGTATTCATGATGCCCTATGAATCTAAAAAGTAAACATTCATGCCTCAAACATATTTACAGCTTCTATGAAAACCATTATGCTGTTATTTTGGGTCATGAATGGCTCATGATGACCAATAACAAAGGCATAAAGGTCACACATTTTCAAACCCTATATATAGGATTTTTTGCCAGCAAATTAACCCTCTCAGTGCCACGGGCGACTTTAGTCGCCCAGACTGAGTATGTGAGTACAAATAAATTCATATCTCCACTTCTACACACAGGAGAGTTACAAACGACCACTCTACGTCTTCAGGAAGACCTTGGCTATCGACTCATCACAACGTTTTGTGTCCGTGAGGATAGATATCGCCAGGGCAAAGCCTGAAGCGCGCGCGCTCGGACAAACAATTGTCGCGTATAGAAAACATGACGTATGCGCATCGCGGGTTTCTCTATTTCTTTCGCGGCAACCCATGCGTATTGCGTATCTAAACATCGAGATTTTCAGTGGCTTTCAGGTCAACTTTGTCCGAATTTCGTGCGTTGAAAGTAGACTGCACTGCGATCGATCGCGCGCGCGTGAGAAAGTGCAGATGCTACGAAAATGCAGAAAACGGACTTCGCTCAGGCGCCCTCGCGAGGAAGACTATTTTCGCTGCATTTTCTCTTCACAGCTGTCTGCCTGGCCATGATATCTTTCCAGAGAGTCATCGTTTGTAAAGATCCGTGGATCTACAGCTGAGCTATGAAAAATTTGAGTTCAGCTCAACTCGGAAAAATTTGAATTTTTCTGACCCCCTTGGCACTGAAAGGGTTAAGAGATATTGCCATTAATGGTCCCTATTACTGTATGGCACGTTCACATCTTATGCCTGGACCATTCACACTACTCCCGAAACGTGGCGTACGTGACGTTTTCGTCCGGATAGCCATGACAACATGGAACGTGGCGGGAAAATCGTACCCCTGATACGAAAACGTAGACGACGTATCCAGACCCCTGTACCGAGGTTCGTTCCGTCGTTCCCAGCTGTTTGTGTCCAAAAGAAGCTGTGGGCACAGCTGTACGAAAAGCGTATACGTGCCTGTGTGAATGCACCTGCATAAAAACGACGTCTGCCAGTACGTCGTATTCCACAACGTGACGCATATTGAAACGTCGTATGAATAGCCTATTGGTCAACTGCTGTGCAGTGCATATACATGTACACAATTCTGTACAATGGTCACTCGAATTAGGGGTGAAAATTAGCAGTGAGATCCTGAGTTCGAGTACATGTACTCTGATTTTCTCCGATCGAATATTCGAGTATTCGAGTACTCTTCATCTCTTACCATCTGCATGCCAAAATCCTGAAATTCACGTGATACAGCCCCGATTAAACAGATTGGTCGCCATTTTCTTGAGTTTATAGTAAAGAAAAAGGACCAAGAAACTACAAGTTACGCTATACTGTCCACTAACACCACCAGTTACTAAACAATCAGCTCATGTGATAACATTGCACCACACTGATCCTTTTTCTTTACTATAAATTATTTATCCTTGGCTTTCCATCCGAGTCCATTTTCTTGAGTACTTAGTATATTGATTGGTGGGTCGTTGGGCTTTCCCTACCCATGTACAGATGTTCACCCCACAGTCTGCACATCATACTGCTTGCTACTCGGAAACCGAACATTTCTGTAGTTTATGTGTAAACAATATATGAATGAGTGCTCTGATTTATTCCGAGTACGATTATTTTTCAATAAGACCGAGCGAATACTCGAATTGAAAATAAGAGAGAAAAAACTGGATAACTTGTAAATTTTAATATGGTCCTATCATATATAGAGAGAGATTTGTTTAATATTTTAATCCTTGGCTCTCCATCTGAGTTTCATGAGTACTCGAATATTTGGTATAATATTTGGTATAATTGTTTCACTCCTAATTGAAATTCTCCTTCATGAACACAATATCGGAGGGCACTGCGGCTGCATTACACTATTGGCACATAATATTATCCACTTGCACAAAGTCGCCAACACTTTCAGCAGCCTGTATCAAACACATCCTTTGGACATTGTAGTCAGTACTGTCTGATGTTGTAGTCACTGCTGTCTGGTGTTCTGACGTTCGCAAACGCGTGAAACTCGGAGTTACAGCAATACAACTTTACAACGATTGCAGTTTCCCTTCTCTCTCTCTCTCTCTCTCTCTCTCTCTCTCTCTCTCTCTCTCTCTCTCTCTCTCTCTCTCTCTCTCTCTCTCTCTCTCTCTCTCTCTCTCTCTCTCTCTCTCTCTCTCTCTCTCTCTCTCTCTCTCTCTCTCTCTCTCTCTCTCTCTCTCTCTTTCTCTCTCCCTCTCTCTCTCAACTCTCCCTGAGTGTGAGTTGTATGTTTTTTATTCTGTTGGTGGCAGTTGACTGAGGAGAAACTCGGCCATTCAGAGAAGACAGACTTTGACCAGAATTTTGAGAACCTATCAGCACGTGCTGATCGTTCAAAACTCTGGACGGAGAAAATTGTGAAAGAAGCGGAGCATGTACTTCGGCCATCAGCAGGCAGTAGTAAGTTTGGCGTACATGTACACTGTATCCACTCCAGTGTAGCATGAGCATTTCCAAGCACTATGCTAAAGTGCATGCTTTGATGTTGAATTGTTGCATTCAACATCCAGATGGGTCTGCACTTCATGTCAGGGTCTCACGTGGAGTCCACAGGGGAGGGGGCTAACTGGGTGTCCTTCTGTGCTAACTTTCAGCCAATACGACAAGGACCATCGCTGCCCCAAAAGCCGGTGGTATCGACTTTCCACTGTTTTTGTAAACTAGCCCTAACCCAAGTTGAGGTTAGGAGAGGGAACCTTTGCACTGTTTTTGTAAACTAGCCCTAACCCAAGTTGAGGTTAGGAGAGGGAACCTTTGCACTGTTTTTGTAAACTAGCCCTAACCCAAGTTGAGGTTAGGAGAGGGAACCTTTGCACTGTTTTTGTAAACTAGCCCTAACCCAAGTTGAGGTTAGGAGAGGGAACTGCTTTTTACTCTGCCTGCTTTGGTACTTTTATTTTTTTGGAGTTCTTGATTTGGGTTTAGTGAATTCTTGATTTGGGTTTAGTGAATTCTTGATTTGGGTTTAGTGAATTCTTGATTTGGGTTTAGTGAATTCTTGATTTGGGTTTAGTGAATTCTTGATTTGGGTTTAGTGAATTCTTGATTTGGGTTTAGTGAATTCTTGATTTGGGTTTAGTGAATTCTTGATTTGGGTTTAGTGAATTCTTGATTTGGGTTTAGTGAATTCTTGATTTGGGTTTAGTGAATTCTTGATTTGGGTTTAGTGAATTCTTGATTTGGGTTTAGTGAATTCTTGATTTGGGTTTAGTGAATTCTTGATTTGGGTTTAGCGAATTCTTGATTTGGGTTTAGTGAATTCTTGGAAGGTTGTTCTCTGAAGATCATTGTTGTTGAGCTGTGTAGACCTTATGCGTATGCTCATGCATGTCATATTAAAGTGCATTCTTATGTGTTTGTGCATGTATGCACGCATGTGTGTTTGTCTGCATGTGGGTGTGTACGTTTGCATATGTGCATGTAGATGAAAAGATTGAGGACTTTGTTCGAGGCAAGCTTGGCCGGGGCTTGCCGACAAGACTTGTTCCCGTTGAGGTTCTGGGTCAACAAATGACAAGTGCAGGTCATGAATATGGACCCATACCTCTTGGTAAGCCCTGCACCATCATGGCTGCCACCATGGTCGTCACCATGGCTACCATCATATCCGTCACCATGGTCACCGTCATGGCTGCCCCCCATGTCCGTCAGCTTTGAAGATACAGCTTAGGCTGTCAATGTGAAGCCACATTCATACACTTACTTACTCGTACACCTGCCCATTGCTGAAGCCATGATAGCGAACACGCTACGTACTGTTAGGCTGCAACCACCCTAGGTACAAAATCACGTACAAACGGCATTACAGTAGAAATCGTCATGACGACCCGCGCGAAATTCAACATGCGCTTTGTAGGTTTTCAGCAACCGGCACACCCCTGTAGAAAGCCACGTTTGTCGTTTCCGTCGTTTTCGCGCTCCATTTCCTGTGTACAACTTTTTTTGTACTGGTCGTCGTACATAGCATCAGCATTGTTTTTGAATTTCCCGGTCTTTTCCAGCGCATGGCACATGCTTTGGCACGACATCGTCACGTGCTGGTCGTGTGAAAACGTCATCTATGCAGACCGAAAAGTATAGTGTGGTTGCGTACTGACTTGTACTGAGATATGCATGAATATTTGTACTGGGATTTTTATGTAGTGTGGTTGCGGCCTTAGACATAGCAACTTGTGCTGGGGTTACACCATGCAACAGCTTGCAAGGCTGATGAATTGACCGCCACTAATTTTAGCCTGGTATCCACCATACAGCTGATTGAAATGGCTTTTTTCTGGCCATTGATTCCCTTCCCCCATACGTACATGCACAAACACATGCACAAACCCCAGTGTATTACTCTGCTGTACATTTCTGCCTTTAATACGGGGCATTCGTAGGTTTCTTTTTCTGCACTGTATAAGTGTGTGTGTGTGTGTGTGTGTGTGTGTGTGTGTGTGTGTGTGTGTGTGTGTGTGTGTGTGTGTGTGTGTGGGTGTGGGTGTGGGTGTGTGTATATGTGTACATGTACGTGTGGGTGTATGTATGCATGTGGGTGTATGTATGCATGTGCATGCATGCGTACATGCTGGTGTACATGATTGTATATTTGTATGTATGTTCACGCGTGTGTGTGCGTGTGTGTGCGTGTGTGTGCGTGTGTGTGCGTGTGTGTGCGTGTGTGTGCGTGTGTGTGCGTGTGTGTGCGTGTGTGCGTGTGTGTGCGTGTGTGTGCGTGCATGGTATTGTACTTGTTTGCTTGTTACTACTAACCAGGTCATGCATTGTTGAAGTGTGGAGAGACGGAATGTGCTCTTGGTATAGCTGAGAAGGAGTTTGTCGGCACAGGAGTCAACCGATTTGTCATACCTATGAAGAAGTTTCTGGATGAGGAGATCAGATCACTCCAGGTCAGTAAAGCTTTGTTTACACGAGGCGTTTCAACCCGGGTTGAGTTCGGCCCGGGTGAAATTTCAACCCAACATGAACACAGATTGACTGGAGCATGACGCATTGCGCGTGACCCGGGTTGAAATGGACAAATCGTACTACCGCACTTCTGTGCGTATCTCGCGCTAGGTTTGCACAACACTGCACAGGCAAATTTCGTGTCAACACCCACCTATTTTTTTCCGTCGTGCAGATTTTCAATCCGGGTTGAAGATTCTGACTGTTATGGTGTTATAGTATGGTTCGTATGGTTGGTAGTATTGGGCATGCATTGAGCAAGTACCGTAAAGTACCGCCAGAGCGCCCCGTCTGGCGAGAGCGCCCTACCTTGATTTTACAGCCAGGGAAAGGTAAATCGCATGGCAGAGTGCAGCGAAGTGTGTACGGTGTGAGCACCTTTGTGTACTAAGGTCACCCTTGGCAGGTTTTATGTGGAGCTCGTGTCCGCTCGAAGGTACGGATTGATTGCACAACATGCAATGTGTGCACAAGGTTCATGTCATATGACCTACAGACAGCAGACTACCATCACAATACGACCACGAAAGGACGAGATGGCGGGGCGCTCTCGTGGTACTTTACGGTAAATGGCTGACAGAAGCACTGATAATGGCTGACAGAAGCACTGATAATGGCTGACAGAAGCACTGATAATGGCTGACAGAAGCACTGATAATGGCTGACAGAAGCACTGATAATGGATGACAGAAGCACTGATAATGGCTGACAGAAGCACTGATAATGGATGACAGAAGCACTGATAATGGCTGACAGAAGCACTGATAATGGCTGACAGAAGCACTGATAATGGCTGACAGAAGCACTGATAATGGCTGACAGAAGCACTGATAATGGCTGACAGAAGCACTGATAATGGCTGACAGAAGCACTGATAATGGCTGACAGAAGCACTGATAATGGCTGACAGAAGCACTGATAATGGCTGACAGAAGCACTGATAATGGATGACAGAAGCACTGATAATGGCTGACAGAAGCACTGATAATGGCTGACAGAAGCACTGATAATGGATGACAGAAGCACTGATAATGGCTGACAGAAGCACTGATAATGGCTGACAGAAGCACTGATAATGGCTGACAGAAGCACTGATAATGGCTGACAGAAGCACTGATAATGGATGACAGAAGCACTGATAATGGCTGACAGAAGCACTGATAATGGCTGACAGAAGCACTGATAATGGCTGACAGAAGCACTGATAATGGCTGACAGAAGCACTGATAATGGCTGACAGAAGCACTGATAATGGCTGACAGAAGCACTGATAATGGCTGACAGAAGCACTGATAATGGCTGACAGAAGCACTGATAATGGATGACAGAAGCACTGATAATGGCTGACAGAAGCACTGATAATGGCTGACAGAAGCACTGATAATGGCTGACAGAAGCACTGATAATGGCTGACAGAAGCACTGATAATGGCTGACAGAAGCACTGATAATGGATGACAGAAGCACTGATAATGGATGACAGAAGCACTGATAATGGCTGACAGAAGCACTGATAATGGCCGACAGAAGCACTGATAATGGCTGACAGAAGCACTGATAATGGCTGACAGAAGCACTGATAATGGATGATTCGTGTAGAAATACTGTAAGGGCGCGTTCAGACTGGCGTAAAAAAACAAGCGGAATGTGAAAGTTGTCAAGGTGAATCGCTCACGTGACGTTCCCGCCAGCGTAAACATGGAAAAGGTTTCCCACCACTCTGCAGGCCAGTGGAATGCAGATTCCGGCGGCACCCGGAGCGCTTTTGATATCCTTGCAGCACATGTTCCGTCTTTTCGTTTTATTTCAGCCTCTACTCTTGCAGTCTGACTGCATGCTTTTGAGTTTTGAGTTTTGACTTCTAGACTGCCAACTTCTCCCATCATGCCGAAATCTTTGTTCGACTCAGCAATGGAGAGGGAGTTCATGGAGCTGTACGTGGTGATTTTTGCGGGCCGCTCTGCAGGCAAAACGCTTACTGCGAACGAGAAGCACACTCTGATCGCGGAGCGGATGAATTCCACCCAAGCACCAAACACTCCGGACATAGTATTCTTTCCGTCGACAAGCACAAGCAAAAGCACAATGATCCAGTATCTCAACAGACTGAATTAGTTTATTTTGATATCCAACTCAAACTGAGTCAACTCAAATTTTTCAAATGTCGAAGCTTCACATGTAGATCTACTGGCCATTCCAGCGGGATGCACGTGCAGTGTGATTGCGATTCCCGGGATTACGCTGCAGCTTTCCGGCGGCTGTTCACGCCAGTCTGAACGCGCCCTAAACCAGATCTGGAATCCTTAGCGCGATTTTTGTGATGGCTGTGTTACTGCAACAGGGTAATCACAAAAGAACTACGAAGTAAGCCGGTGCGAAACCTAGAACTGTTGTACTGAAACTAATGAAATCGACTCCAATCGCAATGTTTCCAAGTGCAAATTGGTCTGTGCACGCAAATCGCGAACTATTTAAATAAAATTCACGGTTAGCGTGAGACTTGGCTGGAGGCCAAGTTTTGCGCATCCGCTGTGGGAACACCACCACCCCAAGAATCAAGGCAAGGAAATCCGTGGGAACACCACCACCCCAAGAATCAAGGCAAGGAAATCCGTGGGAACGCCACCACCCCAAAAGTCAAGGCAAGGAAATCCGTGGGAACGCCACCACCCCAAGAATCAAGGCAAGGAAATCCGTGGGAACGCCACCACCCCAAGAATCAAGGCAAGGAAATCCGTGGGAACGCCACCACCCCAAGAATCAAGGCAAGGAAATCCGTGGGAACGCCACCACCCCAAGAATCAAGGCAAGGAAATCCGTGGGAACGCCACCACCCCAAGAATCAAGGCAAGGAAATCCGTGGGAACGCCACCACCCCAAGAATCAAGGCAAGGAAATCCGTGGGAACGCCACCACCCCAAGAATCAAGGCAAGGAAATCCGTGGGAACGCCACCACCCCAAGAATCAAGGCAAGGAAATCCGTAGGAACACCACCACCCCAAGAATCAAGGCAAGGATATCCGTAGGAACGCCACCACCCCAAGAATCAAGGCAAGGAAATCCGTAGGAACGCCACCACCCCAAGAATCAAGGCAAGGAAATCCGTAGGAACGCCACCACCCCAAGAATCAAGGCAAGGAAATCCGTAGGAACGCCACCACCCCAAGAATCAAGGCAAGGAAATCCGTAGGAACGCCACCACCCCAAGAATCAAGGCAAGGAAATCCGTAGGAACGCCACCACCCCGAGAATCAAGGCAAGGAAATCCGTGGGAACGCCACCACCCCAAGAATCAAGGCAAGGAAATCCGTAGGAACGCCACCACCCCAAGAATCAAGGCAAGGAAATCCGTAGGAACGCCACCACCCCAAGAATCAAGGCAAGGAAATCCGTAGGAACGCCACCACCCCAAGAATCAAGGCAAGGAAATCCGTAGGAACGCCACCTCCCCAAGAATCAAGGCGCAGATGCAGCTCCTAAAGCGGTGGGAGGTGAATTGCCGACTAAAAGCAGTGCAAACGTTTCCCGGTTTACGGTATTGTCTTGTTCCAGACATCTCATCTTCCAACTGAACGTACAGAGGCAGGTACATAGCCCGGTTTGGGGGGGGGGGGGGCATGTGGAGCATGTGCGTACCCCGGAAATCCTTCAGCTTTCGTTCAGCCTGTGCATGTGCATGTTTGTGCTAAATGGCCTAGCGATTGTAGGTCAGCAGCTGCTCTCAAGCCAAATCAAGTGGCAGTGTTCCAAGTCCACTTGTTCTTGTAGTTAGCTATAGCTGTATGTATGTACCGTAAAGTCGCGGATAAAAGCCGGGCTTATAAGCACATAAGCAGCTTTCTGCATCAGGCTTCAATGCAAACCAGGCTTGTATGCAAACCATGCTTATATGCACCACTGATATTTTTGCCAGGCTTGTATGCACATCGGCCGATCCGGGCTTGCATAGAAGCCAGGCTTCTACGCGCGACACGCGTAGATTTACCACTGACTACCGGTATGGCGGCAGTTTTACTATGCACTGTACATAGCGCATGCACTCTTGACCTACCCGATCCGCGCTTGCATAGAAGCCAGGCTTCTACGCGCGACAGGCTTATATGCATTGACCCGTTTGATTTTCAGGCTTCTATCCGCGATGTGCTTGTATGCAAACCCGGCTTCTATCCGCGATGTGCTTGTATGCAAACCCGGCTTTTATCCGCGATGTGCTTGCATGCAAACCCGGCTTCTATCCGCGATGTGCTTGCATGCAAACCCGGCTTCTATCCGCGATGTGCTTGTATGCAAACCCGGCTTCTATCCGCGATGTGCTTGTATGCAAACCCGGCTTTTATCCGCGACTTTACGGTATGTGTACAGTCCATTCATAAAAAGATGGGCCCTGGCTCTGGCGAGCTCCCGTCTTTGGCGATTTTTCGTGATTTCATCGTACACAGTGCAGTGCTGCGAAATTTGAAATTTGAAAAAGGGTCCAAAAAGGGTACCTGAACTGGGGTTCGAACCGCACAATGCACTGTTGCAGACGGGGTCAAACGGCCTGGATTTTTACGGTTTTTCCCAATTCAATGCTTTGGGGGCAAAACCTGGCCGAAATCCTATTCTTGTTATGGCTTGCTTTTTGGAGAAAAAAACTTCAGAAACAGACTCTAATTTCAGAAATTTTCGGTGCTCAATATTTTCGGTATGAGGGCAACAGGCCAGGTTAGGTGAACAGAAATTTTCGGTACAGAGAAGCAGTTCCCTATTGGATTATGTGTGTTAGTGTTTGTTCGGTGTATTGAAATTTTAGGTATGAAACAGACGCACCGAAAGTACCGAAAATAAAAGTACACCGAAAATTTGTGAAATTACAGTAATTGGAAGAGGATTCCATAGGGGATTGCAGAAAAAATTCTAAAAAAACTCAAAGTTTGACCCATTTATGGCCAAAAGCTAGAAG